AAGCACGTGGCACAGAGCACTTATTGGCCAGGAAATACAGGTCATTCAAATCCAGAAATGCTGTAGCTATGGAGACAATTGAACTCTTTTTAGCTTACAGTGGGAGTCGGTTGCCTATAAGTGGAATTTAATGAGAGTAATGCTGCATTATCCAGGGGAATACGTACATGTTTTGATCCACATAGTCCCTAACTTGTCGTGATGTTATGGAAATGTTTAAAAACTGCTGTTCTGTAGACAAGGCTCTGTTAATTAAGTGGATGAATTGTGTTGTTATTGTCTCATGTTTCCTCTGTTATATTTAGATTTTTGCCATTTCTGGGCTATTTGTCCGGAGGATTTAATTAAAGGTGTGTCTGCAGAGAGAACTATTTATACTGGAGCTGGAGTTGGTTGAAATGACTAAATGTTTGACTACCTGAAAAGGTTTTTCACTGCTGGCCGACCTCTGAAATTTGTCAACAAAACACCTCTGTTTTCAGCCTTGGAGACAGTAGGTCATTCATGTATCCATGGCTGTTTGGGTATATATGAGAGTCTTGGTTCTCCTCAGTCTTTATCTGTGACAGTGCTGATTCTGATAGGGTAACTAAAGATTATCTTTGCAACAGTGACAATGTTTGGGATTTACATAATCCTAATCTTATAAATCTAGTAAATAACACTTTCTTACAAACTGCTATAGTGTTGTGTGTGTAATGTGCTTTTTGTAACAATTCAGTCAGGAAAAGTGAAAAGTGGTGGATGAATGATAATGGATTTATTATTTTCTATGGCACATGCATGTAGTGACATCAGTCTTCTGTTTGTAAATGTTTTTTTCGGTCAGAACAAATAAACACATCGTAAGTACAGGAGCACTGAGCCCTAAACAGGAGCACGTGCATGTGCTGATCCATGCGTTTCTTCAAACCTCCTGTCAAAATAAGAATGAATACCTAATCTGTGAATCTGAGGGTGTTGACTACAGAACACTGTTTCCTTTTTGGTCAAAGCACAGAGCAGACATTCTTTTCACTGAGCAAAGCTGGAAAACACACGTGATAAAAGACCATGTCTACTGGTAGTCAGACCATTACACATGTTTGACAACCAAAACTTTAACCACTATAACATTACTCCCAGAGGTGCTGGGCTACAGGGACATGAGTCGTCACCCTCTGAAAGAAGTATTGTCCTTTTTAAAACAGCTTTTACCGTTACACTGACCTACATAGGCCATGGTCTAGTGTAGCAATAAAAAACTGAGACACTTGTCTATAAATGTAGTTTTATTTATGTATTTTTCCTTCTTCTTTTGTCTTTCTTTTTCTTTTGTTTCTTTTGTCTTCATTTGTTGATCTTTTTTTAGATTTATTTTCATCCATCATCGATCATCCATGGTTTACTTGCTTGTTTGTTCATTTCGTCAATGAGCTTTATGGCACTTGTGTAATTGGCACCTTTCCATTCCTTTTAAGAGAATTGGATGAATTATTGGATCCTTTGATGTTCTGTCCTTTGGAAAATGCTGGAAAACCAAGAATCCAAAAAAGCTTCATATTAGCTTCAAATTACTTTTGCGGATGGTGTTTATTCAGGATGTGGGTAAGTTGTGTGGCAATTATTATTATGGTATCTAAACGTAGCCAAAAAGGAAATGATCTGATAAGCTTCTGCACACAGTAGTCGACAACAACACCAGTCCTAAACTACAGGTAGTTTATATTGGACATTCTTGACCTTGTCTGACCCGCTGCTGCTTGGAGTGCAACTCTCCTAACTATAGCAAATGGAGGCTTTTTGTAGGTGGCAGGCAGCAGAGGCCCAAATCACAAAGAGCCTTTGTAAGAGCTGCCATGAAGATATGGTGGCGTTGCAAGTAAAGACAGGGATCATTTATTGTAGACAAATTTAAAAGAAAATTGAAACACAGCCTTTTCCATTACATACACACATTTTGAGTATATTTGAGGGTTTTTTAAATAGGCTGTAGGTTGCTTATTATTTTCTTAGAAAAGTGAAAATACTAGATATATTTATTTTCCTAAAGACTATATTTGTATAAGTCGGAGTGCTTCCCTCCTCTGTGTAGTTTGATTACACAAGGGTTGTGTTTGCAGTGCTGATTATGAAATGTTTCTTTCATAAGAAATATAGTGGCCGTCTGTGACCCAGGGAAGTTCAAAGGGGCCACAGCTGGATGAACACACAGGTATGTATCCAGAAGAAGATTGAATGCTCAAACACGAGTCAGGGTCAATCTGGGTGACTGAAGGATGTTTGGAGACTAGTTAAATTAATGGCAAGGCACACACTAGATGCAGCTGCAGGGCAGTTTACTCCTTCACTTATTTTCCTGTTCACACTGAAAACACCTTTTCAAAGTCATGGTTTAAATAAATTTGAAATTCATTAATTTGGGTCTGCCAGCTGATATACCGGTTTTATATTTAAATTGCAGGTGACATTTACGATCAGAAGAGAAAGACATTAAACACGCATAATAGAAGTCACCTGGTGTTTTTAAATGTAACCTTATTTTGAAGCACATCATATAATACAAAACCGAAAAAATATGTAGGAGGTATTTATTAAAATGTGTGAAATATTTGGCTCAATATAAAATATTAGTTTCCATTATATCATACATACTGTATCTCCTTGATATCGATATCAATCTTTAATATTTTTACTTTGCAACCTTTACGCCTATACAGCTAATCTACTTGTTAACAGTAGAGGCCGCCATAATTTATTTTTCTTTTTACTGCGTTTTGTTAGTCGTTGCCTATTGGAGAGTATACGTTAGGTCACGCCTTCACTAAACGGCTCTTGTCATTTATTGGTCAACTTTAATGTTGGTCGTGTGTGCGTCACACTGTAAAAAAAAAAAAAAAAAAAAAAAAAAAACACAAACCCCTTCCACAGCGTAACTGTCAACGGCCAAATAGACTGTTGCAGTAAACGGTATCGAGTTATTGGTAGTGGAAAAAAAACATCCTCCTTCTGTAAGTTATCGTGTGAATCGTGTAATTCCCATTAATCTGGTGTCAGGCGTATATAATTCTTGTTAGAGTGTAAGAGTCTTAAATGTCGGGCCTGTCGACATTGCAGACACAAGGATACGGGATAGCTAGATGCTAATAGTGGCTATCGTTCACTAAACGCATATAAAGCTGTTCAAGTTTGATGACATTTACCATATATACTATTGTATTCGTTATAGAGAGCGGTGGATATATACATAGAGAGAGAGATTTAAATATTTTTATGAATCCTACTGTTGCTGTACTAGCGGCTGTACATCCAAGTTTCTTATTCATTATGGGTTTGTGTATAGAGTACAACGTGTAACGCGGGTAGTAATGGACTACAAAAGTTGAAAACGTTTTTGTTGTTTCCAAATTCCATATTTGATTCCGGTTTTACAGGTTCTTTTTACACGTAAGTTCAGAAAAAACATAGTTATTGTGTCGTATTTCACATAGTCGTGGATTGCAGCTGAGCAAATTAACAAACGTTATTATTTACTCTGCTCTTCGGCTTTGGCCTTCCTGTGAACCAGAGAGTTTTATCAACCCGACACTGTTGACCATAGAACTTTGTTTTTAAAGTATTTTGAAACGGGTATTCCGTTTAATATTCCGTTGTGGACACATGGCAGACTGCAGGTAATAAACAAAATAGTCACCTCTAGTTTCATTAAGAAACAGTTTATGAGCTGATTAAGGTTTTCAGATGTGTGTTTTTATGTTAAACAAAGCTTTGTATGCATTAGGTAGTACATATTTAATTTAATCGTTAAGCCTGTACTTTATTCTATTTCACAGAAGTTATATTCTTTGTAAAATGTATCGAGCAAGACAGATGACCAAAAGCTGCAAAACTGTTCTTATTTATAAAACTTATTTTCAAATGTAAAATGTCTTCTTTTTTTTCAGGACTCAAGATTTTATACCAGAGTGGTGTATAGTCATGTAAGTGGCAAAATTGCAAAAAGAATGTGAAATATAAATAACATCATTTGCAAGGCATCATCAGTGTCATTATCTCTTATATAACTTTTATATTATAGCCCCCTTTGGTTCTTATTCTGCTTATCAACACTTTTGTCACCCTGCCCTTCCGACTAGTGTGTAAAGTGGACCGCATTCTCAGGCCTTGTGCCTAATAGGAGACCCGCTCCAGCGGTGTGTTGGTGTACAATGGTGCGGTGGGATGTTGAGGGCTTCCCTGGGAGACTGTGATGTCAGAGCCCAACAGCCCGGGCGAGAGCCGGTGTGGCACTCCCAAATTCTTCTTGGGCTGCGAAGATGATGAGAGTGAGGTCTTGGAGGACAGCATGAGGACAGACATGGATCTGTATGAGGACGATGAAGACACAGACTCGGTAGGAGTCAAAATTAATTTGAATGACATATAACTATAACAAGTCAGGCTCTGGTTAACTGTGGTTTTTAATCTTTTATTATCCAAGAATGAAAGTTTTGCACTTTTTATCATTCACATTTAGCCCCCAGAGCGACAGATCATGGTTGGGATCTGCTGCATGATGAAGAAGTCCAAGTCTAAGCCAATGACCCAGATCCTGGAGAGGCTGTGCAGATTTGAGTATATTACTGTTGTCATCTTCCCAGAGGATGTAATCCTCAACGAACCAGTGGAAAATTGGCCACTGTGTGACTGTCTCATCTCCTTCCACTCCAAGGGTATGTCATATGAAACACACAACAAAAAAGTTACAGTGACAGTTATTCTGTATTTGTGTATATGAATAAATATATATGAAAAATGAAAAAACTCTACCCTTATCTCAGTTTTGTTGCAATTGTTAGACTTTAGATTGCAAGTATTCAAGGATTTCACTGTTTAATTAATATAAGCCATGTGTTTGACCCTTACTTAATTTGTAAATGTTTTTTTATAAATATATACCAGGCTTCCCACTGGACAAAGCAGTTAGTTACGCCAAACTTAGAAATCCTTTGCACATCAATGATCTAGACATGCAGTACTACATACAGGACAGGTAAATGTACACACCTTCACTTAACATTTTGTTTTTCAATCCGAAGCTAAAAAATGCAACAAATTTATTTTGGATATTATTTTGACAGGAGAGAAGTGTATCGTATCCTGCAGGAGGAAGGGATTGATCTGCCACGTTATGCTGTGTTGAACCGTGACCCAGATAAACCGGATGGTCAGTGTGCTATATTAATTAAAAATGAATCACTTTGTATTTATGTTTTTATACATATACCATATTAGAAGGAACAGCTACTTGAAATAGTGCTTTGGATTACACCAACACCAGTAACATAATCTGCTTAAATTGTTGTGCATAACAGAAAAAAAATGTTCCTCTGTTTGTCAGAGTGTAACCTGGTAGAAGGCGAGGACCATGTCGAGGTGAATGGGGAAATATTCCAAAAGCCTTTTGTTGAGAAGCCAGTTTGTGCTGAGGACCACAATGTCTACATCTACTATCCCACTTCTGCTGGTGGTGGCAGCCAGCGGCTTTTCAGAAAGGTTTGAGCATGGTTTTTTTTCCTTTGTTTTTTTTAACAAATCCTGTATTCTTATATAACTTGGATGTAGTTGCAGCTAAAATAATTGTTACAGTAAATTTCAAAATACTGTAATACTATTGTAAATCAAACAATTGAAACTTCATTTTAATCATTTGACAGCTTTATTAAAGTTGTATTTCAACCTTTAACTTACATTTTGGTTTTTGGTATAATGTTTTTAATAGTTGTTATTTCTGTTCAGATCGGGAGCCGCAGCAGTGTTTATTCACCAGAAAGCAGTGTGAGAAAGACGGGTTCTTACATATATGAAGAGTTCATGCCCACAGATGGCACAGATGTTAAGGTATTGTATTGGGTACCAAGTCGAAATCTTTTAAAATGTTTAATAAAAGGAAATATGTTTTCTATTTTCAAAGATATTGGGTTATTATTTCACAAATATGGGTGTTGATCATACTTAAAGCTTTTTCTGAACTAGCCTCTGTTAACCTATGTTATGAGACAGTTACTGTGTGTACATGTCCATCATGAATTCTGTGAGAGCCTTTTTTGAAACTCAATATTTGAAATTGAATTTCTGACACTTCTATGTGAAATTTTTAGGTGTACACTGTGGGACCGGACTATGCCCATGCTGAGGCTAGAAAGTCCCCAGCTCTGGATGGAAAGGTGGAGAGAGATAGTGAAGGAAAGGAGGTTCGCTATCCTGTCATGCTCTCAGCTATGGAAAAACTGGTGGCCCGTAAGGTCTGCCTTGCATTTAAGGTCAGCAAACCCACCGTAATTAGTACTGCCTTTTTAACTCCATGCTAAATTGCAGTGATGTTGCTGAAATTCGTGTGGTTCCTGATCATTAAAAAGATGTTTCCTTTTCCTTGAATGCAGCAAACCGTTTGTGGATTTGACCTCCTCAGAGCCAACGGTCACTCTTATGTTTGTGATGTCAATGGTTTCAGTTTTGTAAAGAACTCAATGAAGTACTATGACGACTGTGCCAAAATCCTTGGGTATCATCTTTTGTTTTTATTTGTACTTTTCTTGTGTGGTTGAGTTCTGTTGTTGTTATTGAACTTGTGTTTTTGTCTTTTCACTGTCCTGTAGGAACATTGTGATGCGTGAGCTAGCACCTCAGTTCCAGATTCCTTGGTCCATCCCCACAGAAGCAGAGGATATCCCTATTGTTCCCACCACTTCAGGGACAATGTGAGTTGCTACAGTAGAATTGCATGTATGACAAAAATATAACTATAAAAATATCTGTAGTATAATAGTATATATAGGTGATTTAGTATTTTTTTATTTTGAAAAGATACAGGTCAAATGTAAATGTACAATAATTTTCTTTTGTCTGTGTTTAAGGATGGAGCTGCGCTGTGTAATTGCCATAATCCGACATGGAGACAGAACGCCTAAACAGAAGATGAAAATGGAAGTTCGCAACCCTATGTACGTTAAAGATGTTTTTTCTTTGGTTTTCAATCATTGTGCGGTATTATTGCTTTTGGTATTTTACAATAATTTGTTTTACTTAGGTTCTTTGATCTGTTTGAAAAATATGGGGGATACAAATCAGGGAAACTGAAACTGAAGAAGCCAAAACAATTACAGGTAACAACGTGTCACATATAGTAAAGGATTTGTTTTGTTTTTATAACATTTACATAAGAGCTTTGTGTTGGCGCACCTTATATATATATCTGCGGCAGTATCACATAGACACAATATTTCCTCTATTTTTTCACTATCAACCCAGGAGGTTTTGGATATCACAAGACTGTTATTAGCAGAACTTGGACAGCACAATGACTGTGAGATAGAAGAGAAAAAATCCAAACTGGAGCAACTAAAGACTGTTCTGGAAATGTAAGTTTAAATTAGTTGGATCACCTTCACTTTTTAACCCTTAAGTAACAAACATTTTATGCTTTTTACTTTTTATACCCCAAAGGTATGGTCACTTTTCTGGAATCAATAGAAAAGTGCAGCTGACTTATTTGCCCCATGGGCAGCCCAAAACCTCCAGTGAGGATGAAGGTACAAAGATAGAAAAACTTTTGTTTTTTATTATCCACCGAATTGTGTTTTCAAATGGCTAAAACTAAAAGTACAAATAGCCTGCCTTTGTCTTCTTAAAATTTTCAGACACACGTAAGGAAGGCCCGTCTCTGCTACTGGTCCTGAAGTGGGGAGGAGAACTTACTCCTGCTGGCAGAGTTCAGGCTGAGGAGCTGGGAAGGGCTTTCCGTTGTATGTACCCTGGAGGACAAGGTAAAGTAGTTTTCTAATGACGGAATCTCTGCAATTACTTAGCATTGAATTATTGCATTGATAGTAGGTGTGATAATGAAATATATTTTATTATAGTGCATAGGGATGCACAATTGTTGAAATAAATAAATAGCTGGACTTCAAATGAAAGGTTTTTTGTGAGTTATTTTTCTTAGTTAAACCTCAAACAAACACTAAATGATTTGCTTGGTATTTTGCAGGTGACTATGCTGGATTCCCAGGCTGTGGTTTGCTTCGATTACACAGCACTTACAGACATGACCTAAAAATATATGCATCAGATGAAGGCAGAGTGCAGATGACCGCAGCAGCTTTTGCAAAGGTATGAAGTTTGCAGTGGCTTTTCTGCCTAGGTCATGTGGTTCTCCAGAAGTTAGAGCTCAGTTTTTTTTTTGTTTTTGTTTTTTTCCTTTTTTTGAGTAGGGTTTGTTGGCACTCGAGGGTGAACTTACACCTATACTGGTGCAGATGGTTAAGAGTGCTAACATGAATGGGCTGCTGGATAGCGATAGTGACTCACTGAGCAGCTGTCAGCACCGTGTCAAGGCCAGACTCCATGAGATTCTCCAAAAGGACAGGGAATTCATTGAAGAGGACTATGAAAGAGTAATGACTCAACTTTATAACACAATTATATCTGCCCTTATTTCTTTGTATCACTTGGAATTGAAGAACTTACTAGTGAAACTTACTTTATATGTTCTGTATTTTGTGACCTCATGTGCTGTATTCTCCTTTTTTGTTGCACAGTTGGCTCCAACCTGTAGTGCCTCTTTAGTAAACTCAATGAAGACTGTCCAAAACCCAGTGGCAACGTGTGACAAAGTTTATGCTCTCATTCAGAGCCTCACTTCTCAAATCCGCAAGAGAATGGAAGATCCCAAATCAGCTGGTGAGCTTATTCCTGAGTCATGTTATTCAAAAGGTCAAAGATATTAAAATACATTAGCCACTTACTGTTATGGGACAGAATATCCTGATGTTTTTTATATGTGCTACTGCTCATCGTTTACATTAGGACAAATGAATACATTCTTTACTCATTTTAACTTACATGTTTTCTTCTTGCCTCCACAGACCTGCAATTGTACCACAGTGAGACACTGGAGCTGATGCTCCAGCGCTGGTCCAAACTTGAAAAAGACTTTCGCATGAAGAATGGTCGCTATGATATCAGTAAAATTCCTGACATCTATGACTGTGTGAAGTATGATGTCATACACAATGTTACTCTGGGCCTTGAAGACACACTGGAGCTGTTCAGGTTGTCAAGAGCTCTCGCTGATATCGTCATTCCTCAGGTTAGTGATGATGGTAACAAAGGAGACAAATGTTAATAAGTGCATGTCCAATTACAGCAAAACTGAGCTATATAACAACTACAGCTTCTTCTGTCTTATTAATGTGTTAACCCCAATTTAACGTGTTATTGGTAATAAAACTGTTGCCCCTATGACTTCTAATACTTTTATAATGCATTATTCCTTTTTTTTAGGAATATGGAATAAATAAAGTGGAGAAATTAGACATTGCATATGCCTATTGCCTCCCACTGGTCAGAAAGATTCAGCTTGACCTGCAGAGAACCCATGAAGACGAGTCTGTCAACAAACTTCATCCTCTGTGAGACTGATAAAGTCAGCGTTTCAGACACGTTAAATGTTGTTTAGCCTCTTGACTTAAGTGACATGTTTGCAGGTATTCTCGAGGAGTGATGTCTCCAGGCCGCCATGTTAGGACACGTTTGTATTTCACCAGTGAAAGTCATGTCCACTCACTACTGAGTATTTTTCGCTATGGAGGATTGCTTGATGTAAGTGATCTATTATACAGGATATGAAGTGTTACTTTTAAAAATTAAACAGAACTCTCTGTTTCTCTCTCGCTCTGTTCTCTATCTCGTAAATCCATATAAATCTGTTCATGTATTCAAAGGAGGAGAAGGACCAGCAGTGGAACCGTGCAATGGATTACCTCAGTGCTGTCTCTGAACTCAACTACATGACTCAGGTTGTCATCATGCTGTACGAAGATAACAATAAGGTATTGCTACTTTTTCTGAAATTTACATTTGTCTTCTCGGGCGTTGTTGAAAGTGGTTAAATAAAAACCCCTTAAAACCCTTTTCACAAGGACTTGACCTCTGAGGAACGCTTCCATGTTGAGCTGCACTTCAGTCCAGGTGTCAAAGGCGTTGAGGAGGAGGACAATGCACCCACTGGCTTTGGCTTTAGGCCTGCTTCTGCAGAAGTAGCACGACAGGTATTACCACATATAGACTAGGGATGCACCGAATATTCAGCCACTGAAAATGTTATCACCCAAACAAAATGACTGAAACAGGAAGTTATGATGACGCAAGCAAAAACTGCGGCCAGTGCAGGCTTGTCTAATGGTGCCAACATGACTGCAGTGTGAATGCATTTCAATATATCTGAGAAAGACCCACAGATAGTGTTTGCAAAATGTGTAATGTTAAAATTTTAAGTGGGTGTGCATCTGCAAAGAATTTCTCCACATTGGGTTTATTTTATCCAAACATCCCGATCGCTATGCCGAGTATGAGAGGAAGGAAAGACTCTTTGCGCAAAAGTGAGTCTTGGCTGCATACAGCGCAGACCACAAGCTCCCCCCAAAGTTCACTTCACACTAGTGGGTCTTAATAGAGAACATTCTCTCTCTTCTTGTCCCGTTTGAGCAGCTAACTAAAGAGATCAGCTTCTCTGATGCATCTGTAGCTGTTACTCCTTTATTTGTAGCACTAGAGCGACTTCTAAGCAAAGAGGTTGAGACGGACCACGTAGTGAAAACAATGAGAAGTACACTCATAGTCTGTCAGTGCACGTTTCTATCCATCTATCTATTTGAGATCTATCCGGATTGTCTGCACTTCGTCGCAACTGTACTTGATCCGCGTTATAAAGATCATTAGCATGAGAAATTATCCAGTAATTGACTTAAATGCACTTTGTGTTTTTATGAGAGAACATATTTAATTATACAATTTTCAGCAGGTCAGTAGACCTGTACATTACCAGAGGGGTCCAGTTCAACATTTTATGTTGAATTATATTTTATATTGGGCATTGTTGAAGTGTGTTTCCTCATTTTCGGTTTTGGTCAAGAATTTTAATTTCGGTACATCCCTAGTATAGACAGTTTTGCCATGTAATTATTATATACAGAGAGCAGCCACATTATTTTTAACATCCTCTGCCCACTAAACAGGGGCAGAAAGAGGCTGACCCCGGCAGCCTGGAGGACCTGTCGAGAGATGAGACGGACCGTGCTGTCCCACTCTCTGAGCCAATTGCAATTCAACGGAGGTCTCCACTTGTACGCAATCGTAAAACAGGATCCATGGAGGTAAAGGTCCATGATATATTTCGGTTCTTCATAAATGTAGGATTGATAGTGTATGACTTTAAATATCTATTTATAATTTTTTTTCTGTTGCCTGTAGGAATATGTCTAGCTTGTGAACATTTCCTTTTCAGTTATGGCTTGTTCAATTTAAACAGATATTTCATTTTTGAAAAGCCGCTGTCAGTTTAAAGGCTGTTTTTTACCTTTTATCTATTTTGGTTATCGATTTCCACCAGGTCTTGTCTGAAACGTCGTCTGCTAAAGTAGGAAGTTATCGACTCTTCTCATTCTGCTCACGTCAGTCCCCCGAGATGAAACAAAGCGGATTAGGTAAGTGTCCCTATGCCAAGTTACCATGGCAACAGTTTTTAATGACATTTAAAAACAGGTCAGTGGTTAGAATGAATGTACAAGACACTTTGCAAAGGCCAGCAATATTCAACAAGTAGAACAGATACTGTGACTATGGTGGTGACAGAGATAAATGCTTCCCTCTAAACATTTGCATCAAGTGGATGTTTTTCTTAAACGATCTCACCTGTTGTTTAATCAAAGAAAACCTTATCAGCATAAGCCTGACTGACTGAAGCTTAAAGGGCATGGCTGGCAAATAAACATTTTTCCGACTTGTGTGCTGTCACAGCTGATGTTCTGAACTAATACCAACACACAGTGGATATTTGTCCACTGACGCAAAACGGTAACAAATATAATTTTTATTTGAATTATATATTCATGCAGTGCTTTTATGGGCTCATCCGCCTCAGTCAATTGTGTCTGCTTCCTAGGATATTGTTTTTTTAACTTTGAGGGAGCACAACAAAAGAAACAATAGCCTGAGAGCTTGGAGAATGACAGTAAATGTCATACAAAACATAATTTTTCAGAACAGTTTTCTTTAACTTGATCATTCTGTGGTTTGTGCCCTGGAGATGTACAATTCAAGGCTGAATGTTATAATGTGTGTCCCTTGCTTAAAAGGTATGCCCTGCTGCTGTTGAATTTCACAACTGCTCTTCAAATACTTTGATAATACCATGGACCAGGACTAGTTTTCTTTTCTTGGTAACAATTATTTTACTTATGTTGAGGTAGATCCAAGAAAAAGAGGAGGCTTACACATGTGAACGAAGTGTCACAGTGTGATAAAAAATCTTTGAGGTTTCACACACTGACCTTGTGTTTAAGCTTCTTCCAGCCTGTTGTTAAAAGTAAAGAGACAGCGGTAGATCATGGCAACGGTGCATTGACGTTTCCAGGTTCTTCTTTCCTGCTATTGCCTTTTCATTGTTTTCCTTTTCTGATTCTATTTCTGACTGACTTTCTCACTTTTCAGAGATTTTTTTAACTTTTTACTTCTTAATTTTCCAGTCAGTGTCCAAACTTCAGCCAATAATCAACCAATAATTTGGAGAAAACTTAGCATGTGATGTAGTTGTGACTAACCCCCCGCCCCCCTCGCAGGCTCACAGTGCGCCGGGCTCTTCAGCACCACTGTCCTAGGTGGGTCCTCTAGTGCCCCTAACCTGCAGGACTACGCACGCGCACATCGCAAAAAATTCTCCACTGGCAGTCTGTCCTACAAAGACGGTATGTGTTGAGACCGTGCTCCTTCACTAACCTCTACAGGTATACTTATTGAAAAAATGTTTGCACTTTTCTGAGTGCTAAAAACACAAATGAATGTAGTTTTGACATGATCCACAAACCCCACGAGACAGAGTTAGACCTACATACAGAGATAATTCAGTCAGAAGTAAATAGCTACGATTTATACAAATCTAATGTTATAAATCATCAAATTCAAATTTACTGAAAATAATAACACACCATATTCATATTTGTTACTAAAAATACTGTATTTTGCCATGATCATCTTTCATCTGTCATTGGTATGCTTGGTGTTTTTCCTAAAGCATTTTGTTAATGTGCACCCTTCATGACCACTTACATATAAGAAATTTAAAATTAACATATTTACTTTGTTCACGGTGAATGAAAATATTTCCCTCTTTACAACGTCCCCTTTGAAGCTGTTTAAAAAAAGGTTTAATTGATTGCAAATAATTGTAAATCGACTTGTCTTTCTTGAATACTTGAATTAAGGATTTTCGGTTTCAATTTCTTCAAATTACAATTTACCACAGAAACATAGTCACTTGATCATTATATTTAGGATAAAAATCAAATAATTCATTGCATTACTGAAGTGAAAATGTTGACACTGTTTTAGTCTTTAGCTGAAGTCATAAGAATAAATTAAGTAAAATTCGGAGTCCTTAACTCTGTAGCGAGTTATAGTGTATTCGTCCAGTAGGGGTCAGTGTAGTATCATAAACTAAGTTAAACACAAGGTCAAGGAACCGTTAACTGGCGATTTTTAAAATAATCCTTTCCGACAGTATATTCTTGGCAGGGAGTAAGTACCCACAATACTTTGTGTACACAAGTGTAAAAATGTGGAACATTATCAAGGAGATGGAATAGCAGCCCTGATTACAACTTAGTGTCATTTACACCCTTCCAAAATGCTGAGGATCCTTTTTTACTAAACTAGGATGCTTGACTTAAAAAAACAAAAGTTTCTTTCAACCTTCATCCTTCCTATTGTCTCACGTGTCCCTCCTCTGTTCCTCCTTTTGTCATCCATCTTGTCATCTGATTTTTAGGCATTAAAACAAGCCATGTAATGATCTCCATGCAGTCAGTCTGGTCAGCTTTGAATATGTTCCTCTGTGTCCATTGGTGATTCTATGCTTTGGTTTTTCCATGTTGAATGATTCTACTTCATTTTAGGGTTACTAGCTAATACTTTTGTTTGCTGTCCTTGTGTCTCAGATCACAACATTGGCCAAATTGTCATTTTACTTTTGCTGAGTAGACTGTTGAGCTCTTCCCAGTTAAACTTAATAGATAGGAAAGCAGACAATAGACCTTTCTTATGGATTTGATTCTTTTTTTAAAATATTTGTGTCAACTCTTTGGTTGAAAACATTTCATTTCACTTCATCAGAATATTGTTGTTGGGCCTGTAGGCAACGTTAAAAAACTTCACACATGTAACATCTGTAAATACAGCTACTAGCTAACTTTAGTTAGGAGGAAAAGAAAAAGTTTTCTAGGGAGGTGCACCTTGGTTTTTTTTTTTTTAAGAATTCCCTAATGCAGAAGAAGAAAACAGATTTTGGTGGCTTTTAGTAACGTTAGTGAATTTTTTTTATTTCCTCAGAGTTGTTGTCTATGCCGGCAGTAAAACGGTTTTCTGTGTCATTTGCAAAGCATCCGACTAATGGTACGTCTGCTTCTTTCAAGTATTTTTCAACTCCCTTTGTCTTGCATGTCCTCATTTTTACCTTGGATTTTTTCCACATGGCCCTCCAACATACTAGTTGTCAATTCTGTTTTCAATTGTTTTGGGTTTTTTTGTTATTGTGATTATTATTATTATTTATTTATTTGTAACTCATATTCTGAATTATTTTCTAACACAATCTGATACTTCGTTTTTAACAAGGGTTCCCACTAGTCAAAAGATAAAAGACAATACATTTAGGAATGTTGGCAAATCTACATACATTTCCAATGTTTAAAACAGCTATCCACAAACCGCTGTAACCCTTAAGAATGCACCAAAAATGAGACACGATTTATTTAAATCTTTCAACAAAGCCACATCCAAAAGCTGAAAACATGACATGCTGCGTTCATGGTATAATGACGGCAAGTACTTTAACAAAGTCGCCATGTGGTGTATTACTCTGTTACTCATTGGGGTTATTAAGGTTCCATCATTTCTTTATATACTAAACCTGTGCAGTGAACAGGACCCAGCAGTGTTTTGAACTGACCCTGCTACTGTCACAGTGGGATCTGGGAATGTATAGTGGTCAGAGTATCTGTGTGTGTGACTTTGTCTCCCTCCTTCATTATGCTGGACATACACCAGCTGAGAGTGTATGAGTGACAAAGGTTGATTAAAGAACTGTTAGGGTTGTAGTTAGAGGCCAACATGTAAATTGCGGCTCCCAATGTATATTTTTTAAATATCTGCATTTTTAATAAAATACTCTAAATACTTTGCACAGTCACAGCCTGGCTGTTGATTGGTGGACAGGACAGGTGTCTTAGCAGAGGCTTGTTAGATTATTCCATACTCTGTACTTAACAGCTTTGGCCTTGCTATTAGTAGTTACCAGGTAGAGTAGTTGGCAAAAGCTGTAGTGCCAAGAGCTTTGAGTGGTCATCAGGACAAGAAAAGAGCTGTGTACCATGTTTACAGGCCTTCAGGTATTTCAAAATGTTCTTCTACTCTGTCTTTTAAAGTTACGGCATAACTCCTCAAGTGACTGTGCTTGAAAACAGGAAAAGAAAGCTTTAAGTTATTCCTACACAGCTTTGTGAAGTTTGAGCAACTTTTCAAAATGGGGAAACTTGTTTTCATTTTGGAAATTTGCAGGGGTTTTTTTTGTTTTGTTGCGTTTTGTTATTTTAGATGAACATGGACTTGGTTCATCTGCGGTGGAATAATCTCCTGCTTTCTTTCACTTTAATAGTGCAGGCCAATACGTTGTTCCCTGCTCAACACCAGCATTTTCCACTTTACTGCTTCTCCCTCACTATCATTCACATCCTCACCCAGGCAAAAATGAATAAAAAACACTTGTTTCCCACTGCACAGATGGTTGTAGTGTCGTGCTGGTCCCTGGATGGGCACATTTCTGAGTACAAGTATGTTTAAGAATCAGCCCAAATACAGATACAACCATAGGAATTAGTGCATCCCAATGGTTAAGTCCACCTACAGATAACATAATGTAGTTGCTAGAATATCAGATTGTTTCTGTGAATATGTTCATGTGACTAATGTGAAACAAATCTGAGACTTAACTGAAAATCCTTTTTATTTTTGTTTCTCATTTTTTTGTCTGTCTATTTGGAGATGTGCAGAGGACAAAGGTGGTTAAAATAAAGATTAGAGCTGGGTCATTCTGGTGTTTAGTCAGTGATGTGCGTTAAGCTACTAAATACTAGCTACTGAGTGTAGCCTCTGTCCAGTGTGTTTGGTTACAGTCTCTTCGCATTATTCTTTCAAACCTTAGCCGTTTTCCCAAGCAAGCAGCATTTTCCAGAGAGACACCGGTGGGAACCCTGTTTATGACTTCAGTTCATGATGTGGACAGCATTACCAAATTAGTTTGTTTTAATAGTGTTTTTTTTATTATTATTATCCAAATGATTTGATGTATTTTTGTGTGTGCATGTTTACGTGAGTCAACGTCAAACGTACCCCCTGTCATTGTTGTAAAGAATGTGGTATGAAGTCAGTGTTAAATCGCCGCCACAAACAACATTAATGTGTAACCCTTCTCCCGTGCCCCCTGGTTTCAACTCAGTAAAGCTTCAGTAACGATGGTGACTAAAATGGTGTAAGAGTTAAGGACAAAATCTGACTGACAAACTGGGGAAGGGTTAGAACATACTCATCTCACCCACTGTGTCTGTTGTCATCAATAATCACCAATCAAAAGCTTGCTTGCCTTTGTTTATATTGACAACAGAGTGGTTGTTAAGTATATTTGAAAATTTTGTATTTTATTATTTTTGACGTAACAGAATAGTATGCGTTCATGGCTGATGACTATATATTTCCACTTTTTTTCACAACATTTATTCTTAACTAATTATAATAAAAGTCTTTGGAGCAGATGACATTAGGGGTCAGAAGCAATATTTAAAATAATAAATGTCTTCACATTAAAATCAATTGTTTTGATGTTGATACTGTTTTCTGGTCATTTTGGTCTCATTTGAATTGTTTGGAAACAAGTTTTAAACGGATTTCTGGGAGAGTTGTTCTCAAAGCTGTGACATGGGTGTATGGCTGATGGCAGTCAGTTGTTGAAAATGTAATCTGTATTTCATGCTTACTTGTTTAGATGATATGGTGGAGTGCACTTTGCATAAACACGTAGACACACACATGCCTTACGTATGTCATTTATCACAGGTACCAAAGATGACATGTCCTCCACAGCAGTGGCTCCATCTCTGTGGAGTGCTGCATCAGGTACAGTGGCGCCTGATGAGATGAGTTTTTGACCCAGTTTCAGCTTCTTTTAAAAATTGAATTAACAGTAAATGTAGACACACAGTAACCTATATTATGGATACAGTGTCTAACTGTGGATATGCATATCTTACTGCAGAGTTTTTGGACAGGTTATTAAGACTTTTCTGGTTGTGCTTCTTGTAAATAACTTGTGAAACACTTGCTCCTTTGTGAGTTTCTACATTAAAGTTAAAAATATTCCAATTCATTAAAGTCAGATGATTTTTGTAGCAGGTAGCAGTGTTTTAACTGGAAATTCTGACATTAGCGATTGTTGCCTTCTCCTCACAGAATGGAGTCTCCTGGTGTCAGTGGGAAAATGTAAACACAATATTACACTTTTGCTTGTGGTTAAGATGTGCATACAAATACATGAAGGGATTTGTTTGCTGGTGTAGTTGATTATTCTTTGTCAGGGTTGATGCAGCAGATTAGTTATAATTGCAAATATACAGATAGTGATAACAACCCCATTATATTCATCTAACAAGTTTACCTAATGTCCCATTAACATATCATGGCCATGTAATGACTTGATAAAACACATTCTGACACTGCTGATATTTTTCATGTACTTTCAGTTCAGTGGTACAGAAAGTCAGAGGAGCAATCTGTTTTATTGTCAGTGCCTTGTTGTTAGCTTTGCTTCAGGTGATTTTTGCCATTTCTTTTCCTGGTCTTTGGCCCTTTGGCAGCTTCACTAAGCTGTTGGCTGCATCTTAAGTTTACAACACAGACACACATACACACGCCATTCCTTCCTCCTCTTCGCTCTATTTCTATCCTCTGCTTCACTTTCTTATTTCCTCACATCTGTGTCATACTTTGCACCTTTCCTTCTTTGCTTCTTGCTGGCTTTACTCTATCTTTTCATGTCCGTTGAATTCCTCCTCCTCCTCCTCCCTCTTTTTCCACTGCCTTGTCCTTCCTTGCTCTTCCTCTTCTTCTTCAGAGCCCTTTGAGGAGCACCATGTGGCCCAGTTGTTAAGGCCTTTCTCCACCGACCCCACCCTAGGGCGCCGCCTCTCTCTGGATGGGGCGCTGGCCCACCACCTGCACCAGTGCTCCTACCACCTTCGCCTCTTCCGAAACTGGCTCATCTCCGGCCAGGACCCTCTAGAGTACCTCTACGGTCAGCCTTTGGCCCTGCCCTGCCCCCCGGCCCCCAGCCTCATGCCATGGCTAATCACTGTTCATGGTTTAGTTGGGATTGTGCCTGTTCTGTGTTTGTCTTTCATGCTTTGCCTCCTAGTGTTTCTGCATGCTTGCCTGTGTCTGTGCTAATGCAGATTGCAAGCAGTGGTGATGTGAGCTTTGCGGGGCCATTTATTTAGTAAAAAAACAACATTTAATTTCTCCCTGGAATTGGGATGTCAACTGTCCAAATAATCTGTCATCTAATCTCTGAGCTCCCCATTTTTCTTTTCTCTTTGAGGCGCTTCCATTGTAACATCTTCTTAGTTACAAGCCAAGTCTATGTACCACAGAAATGATCAGTCATTCAAACACATTTTGTACATTGCATACACACATTGTAAGAAGTTGTTTTTTCTGGAGTAACCCATTAATTTTCTTTTTCTTTTTTTCTCTCATTAGACTAAGACCCTGTTATTATCCACATCACATGTTAATGCCTTTCAATCAGCGGCTGTCTTTCACTTGAGTTTGTATGCCAGTTGCTCACTTTCTGACCAGCATGTGATTCCTGCTTGTCAGATGTACATATGGCTCAACTAAACACTGCAGATGAAATCTGTGAACAAACACCTGCAGTGGAGGTCTATTAACACTTGAAGCAGGCTTTGGTTTGACGCTTTGTGACTGAGAACAGCTTGGTTGTTCACTAACAGTGGATAGACTGATGAAGTGTGTTGGACTGGCGCTGTGGTCTTGACAGCTTTTGAATGCTGTGCACTGCAGCTTGTGTGATGGAAAAGGCAGATGATGTATGTCCTTGAGTCCTGCTTGCTTTTGCAAAAAAGGAGGGACTTTTAAGACGTGGACTTGTGTTACAATGAGATATTTTCTTGAAACACAGCATGGATTTTGCTATTTGTCTGCGTGGAAACAAACAGCTAGACATCACAGTGGGTTTGGTCTGATCTGGAATTTTGAGCAGTGTTTCAGAAGAATATGCTCAAGTGTAGTTTATGGATGACGGTGGAGTAAGGTTTAAGCTGACTGGTTCTGCCTGCTCCTCCTCTGAGTGGCTGAGAAGGCTGAGGGTTAATGTGCCTGTGGGCATCATGTCTCCTCTCTCCCATAGGCTTTGAAGGCTGCTCCATGGTGCCCTCTATCTACCCCTTGGAAACACTACACAACTCGCTGTCTCTCAAGCAGGTCAATGAGTTCCTGTCTCGAGTGTGTGAGAGTGCTGGAGACCCACATACTAGGACAAAAAGAGGTCAGACAACTAAGTCTAATTGGAAGTTATTTTTAGTTTTTCTAAAATCATTGTTTCTTGATGTGACCTGTGGTCCTGTTGTCCCCCACAGCTCTGTCTGCCATGTTTGGACAACACAACCAACCGTCAGTGGACACTTATATCCCTCAGAGAGTTCTTTCATCTTCCATATCTCTCAGGTCTCGTTCTGACAGACCTCCTTGGTGTGAGTATAAAATTAACTTGTCTACGTTTTACCTCCTGCTTATACTCTACTGCTCATAATGTCACAACTGACACAGACTAAGGAAAGAAAAAACAACCTGCCAAAGCAGAGTCAGTAATGCTGTCAACCACTGTCTGTACCACAGAACCAGAACCTTTTTTTCATAAATACCATGAATTTAGAGTAACATTTCTGTACCAATTTAAAAGAGAAATAAAACCTGTCACTTCCCCTGTGGCTTTGCTTCCTGACCCTGCAGACAGCAGTGGTCCGTCCAGCACAGTGTCCAGTGCTGGTCCATCTTCTCCAACCACAGCTGACACCTCCCCACGCTTCAGCTTCAGCGATAAAGTCTCCCTCACCCCACAGAGCAGCGAGGAAACTCACACCACCCAAAACGCTTCCACTCAGATGGTGCCTGCTGCTGGATCACAGGTCCTCGACTCCACATGTCCTGCTGTCTCAAACACTGCTGAAGCTCCCTCAACTCCAGTCAACCCAGAGCACGTTGATGTGACTGATCATCTTTCTGAACCCATGCTCGAAGCGCCCGAGTTAGTCTCCGGCTCTGTGGATCCTCCGATCTCTGACCCAGGCCTAAGACCCGCCTGCTCTGCATTAGCTGAGCTCAGCCTGAACCGGATGGAGGGTTACTGCCTGCCCGGCTCTCTGCCTGTGCTGCTGGAGCTCAGGGAGAGCAGCAGTGAGGCAGGGTCCAGCTCTCAAACACCTCAGTCTCCAGAAGGACACGATGAGTTCTTTGACACCCAGGAATCTATGGATCTGTTGCTGGACAGTCCAGAAATCCCCCTTAAAGGGGAGGAGCTTGAATGCACAGAGCCAACAGAGCTGTAGGGCAGTAAGAACTAAAAACAGAGTTGGTCAGTCATCCCCTGTTTTTGTTTCATGTTGTTTAAGCTAAGCACAAGTTCTTAGTGCACTTGTGAAATTTGCCAAAGAAAGGTCCAAGTGGGTTCATCAGTGATGTGAGTCCACAACTTCTTATTATCTTAGGCCAAACACTTTATTAAAATGTCACAGCTGTCAAACAATCAAACATTGTGATAAATCAGATCTTTTATTATCATCACAATACTGTGTTTAGACAAATTCATTGTATTCAAATCACTGACATGATGTGGCCTCTGTGGTCTAGTCCTTTTTTCTTTTCTTTTTTTAACACATCAAGCATTTTTTTTCAAAGGTCACGTTAAAACTTTACAATTCTGTTACTGTTGCTTCGCTGCTGCTTTTACTCTTTTTGGTCAAAACCTGAATTATACCCATTAAAAATGCACATGGTTATTTACATACAAAGCTTCAATCAGTGTGTGAGGAAACAATATCTGACATTTTGGTCGAGACGTGTTCTATTTTATTTATTAGATCAAAGCCACATCTTATGTTTCTTTTCTTTTTTTTCCATTTGTTAAGAAGTGATTGTGTTAACTTGCTTTTATAAAATACACAGAATGTTGGTTTGCAGTACAGTAAGACACCATCAGAAAATACAATCAGTGTCTGCTGTGTCCTGCATCACACACACATTTGTTAATCCATCCTGTGCTCAGTGTCAGTGGTGGCTACAACTTTAGTAAAAAAAAACTTTGATTTATGAATCTTCACCACTGCCAATCAAATGTGTGGGTTTCAAGTTTAAGTCATTCGCACATCAGCAGCGTGTGCACTGCTTACTGCAGAAGTCCTTAAGCCTCATTAAAGATTTAATATAATCAGTAGGAAAAGAGAGAAATATTTATTTTGAAATTATGGATTTAAAACTTAACAGATTTTGGGAATAGCTAATAAGCTACACAGTGGATATTTACCTACAGCAAAGCTAATGTATATTTTTGTAAAATCACTTCATATTACAGGAGAATTTTCAAGCTAATTTCATTTTCCACTGAACAAACAGGAGGAACGGTTTACAATATGTGTGCTTTTACTGGGGCGAGCAGTTATGTAGCAGCGGTGTGTGTGTGGGTTTGTGTGCTTGTGTGTGTGTGTAAGGGAGAGGGTGCACTGTTGCCCTGGGAGCAAATTCAGGTAGACAGATATATGCTGGTGTGCACGTCTGTGATTATTTCATGTTACAGTGCAAAGTACTGTAGTGGTACAAGATACAACTGTGAGACAATAAACCTCTGACCTGTTGACAGATTAAAAACTACCACCATACACTCTGTGTGTTCTCACTTTGTTCTTGTCAGTTGTGTGGCAATTTCAAACCTGAACAGATTAAGCAGAAACTGTTTCACTTAACTGAGCGCGTGCAGCTCAGACAGCTGGAGCAGACACAGCTGACAGGAAATGCTCAGTGGGGTTTTTCCACTGTGCCTGTAATATCGTGTTGATCCTGCTGTTCTCCTCCAGGATCATGCGATTGTGAAGGTGACATCATTGCTGCTTCTCAGAATGCTGATTGTCTTCCTGCCTGCAGCACAATATGTGCCTCACACAGTGAGAACAGTGTAGAATTCACACACAAGGTTCCATCCTCAGTGCTACAGTGGTGTTCACACCCAGCATGTTTGTAGAGGCTTCGACCACAGGTCCGACGTCACTGAGCACAGGGCAGTAAATCAGTTCGTAGCTGACAGGCAGTATTGAATAAAATAAAAAGTTGTACTTTCATGTATTTTTCTTGACATGTTTCCATGTCATTGATTAAAACAGGTAGAAACTCTCACTCTCTCAGGTCTGTTTGTCTCTCCTGAGTTAACGAGTTTGTCTGATTCACCTGTGTGCTGTGAGTCTCTGTTAATCAGTCTCACTCCTTTCACCTGCTGCCTTCCTCTCTCCCTCAGTCTTGTCTCTGTCGGGTCATTGTCTGTGATTATGGTTCCTTCATTGTTCCTGTTCTCCAGGTATGTTTCATGTCTTGTTCCCCTTGTTTCACTGTGTTCACTGCTGGATTTAGAGGATTATTGTCGTTCGTGTGCTTCCCTGTACCCCTGAACGTGACAGTGGCTGACTTTAAGCATGTTTACCATGAACAACAACAAAAAAAGACAGATTTTAAACATGTTTTTTTTATTGTTATTATTGGTCATCACCACACATATTTTCCATTTTCACAACAAATCCATTTCTATTGTACCTTTATAAGCTTTAAAGGAAAGATCAGGAGTATTGCACTTAAAACATGAGATGAAAACATTAAAGCATAATGAAGGAAATAATCATTTAAAAAAAGGAACATAATCCACACTGCTTTCTCTGTAGCAAAGCAAAGCCTAGTTAAATGTGCCTCTTCAATAGCAGACAGCTTATTTTCATGATTATACGTCTCATAATATTTTTTTTTCATCAGCTATTGCAATACAGAATTCAAAGATACACATGCACGTACAAGCAGGGCTCAGTGGAAACTGGTGGCATGATTGCAGACACATCTGGATGCTGCTGTTTTTCTTTTTTCTGACTATTTTCGGAACATTAAGAAAAGCAGCAGGTGAGTAAGTGTGATGAACAATGACTGCTGTTCTTGGGTGAAATGTGCTGAGATTATGACATTGTGTTTCTCGTGTCTGGCAGTTTGTTTTGTGAACAGTTACTTTTGTTTTTGTTAAAGTAATAACTTAGAATTATAGAATAATAGAATGTTTTTGTTAAAGTAATAACTTAGAATCATTCCCATTAGACTGTAAAGTGATATTTCAGTGATATGAACTGCACAATAGCTCATTCATCTGGTTTTTCCGTCACGTGAGACGTAGGATTTGTTAGCGTGACTGAAAAATCTGTTGCTCCTGGAAAAAAAGTCTGTATGTCGTTAAAGGTCATCTGCATTTTTATACATTCACATCTCCTCTGTTCTGCTCTGCTCTGCCTGCAGCCTTTTATAGGAGCCTTTGTCCGTGCATCGGTTGTACATGCATCTCTACATAAAGGAGAAATACAAATAGTATACAAGAGAAAGTCTGCATTTTGTTTTTAAGTTGTTTGATAAAAGAGTGACCCTGGTGAGATGTGTTGTTGGTCCTGTCATCAGTTCAGTTGTCCTGGATATAATTAAAACTTGTTAAAATCTATCAAAAATATAAAAATTACCAATATCAAATGAAAGCACACTTGTATGTAAAGCTGCAGTGTGTAACGTTTGTTTGTCAATTTATTTCTCTGTTAAACTAATTCTCCAACTGAAGATTTAGCCTTTAGACTAATCACATTAACACCTTAGTTCTGGGCAGTGACAACCACAGTCTCACAGAGTGAAATCACTAGGTGCTGGAAATCAGATGTACCTTAAACTTCACAACAACACAATTCCTTTTCCTTTTTCCTGTCATGTTTAGAGCATCCTACTGGAGCCTGGCAGCACCTTGGTTCTGGTCATATGAAGACCCAACCTGAGCAGGAGGGTACGGTTTTGTCTCATTGTTTCAGACAGTTTCCTGTGATCCACAGATGTTAATTCATTGACTGCGTGCTTATTTATGGACTTCAAATCAAACTGGCAGTACGAGACACCGAGACAACCAGGTTCAGGTTGTTACGCGCTGCAGCTTTTAGTTAAAAAAGATATTAAAAACATTGACTTTTTTTTAACAACTGATATAGAGAAAACAGAGTGAAGATGCAGCAGGTTCCTGTGGTGCTGTCACTGGTTTGCATTAAATACAATCAAATCCAGAGAAAGAGCACAGGTCAGTGCAGTACTGTAAATGAACAAGTATTTCTGGAGCTGCGTTGAGATTCGCACACACTGGTTTTCTCTTTGTGCTTTTTCAAGATGCAGCTCCAGCAAATGTCAAACACTATGGCTGAAATACTGACTTTCTGCTTTTCTCCTGTTCCGAACAGAACACAAAACCTCGTGTCTGGAGAATGAACTATTTGGAGTCATTTTATCTTTGTGCTGTTTTTTTTAAGGGGAAATCGAACCATCTTGTTGGGATAACAGTTTGCCCCTCCTCACTCTCCACCCTTCAGCACGCACACATCCCACCCCGAACATTAATGGACAACAGAAGTGTAACTGACCTTAAATGATTTTCAATATGTCCAAACACACCTGCACACACACACACACACACAGACACACACAGGAAACACACTAAAATTACGCCTGTGAACAAAAAAAAATATTTGAACAAAATAATGTTAAATGTTCAGGTTCCGTGCACTTCACTAAGTCCTGACTGCTCCCAGAATATGAATTTTGAAAAAGTGCTACATTTAAACCGTCTAAGACAGACCAACATAATATAACAACGGAACATTGTGTGGATTTAACTCTGTCACAGTGAAAGCCAATTTAAAAACTTTTATTGTAATCTTTTTTTTATTTTCAAGGTTAGTGTTGCAAATGGGACGGTAAACCCCTCAAAACCTCCAACAGGTGGCACCCTAGCGACCAACTTATGTGGCCTATGCCAAACTCTGCCATTACATGTTTCTCCAAAACGTGTTAACAATACCACGGGGTAAAAGTGATTTACAAAGTGCAAATCCAATGTTTTTCCTTTTGTTTCTTGGATTCTTTTGGCGTTTGGAGGTTTTGTGTTTTGGCCAGTGATATTTTCTACAACTATCCACAGCAGAGCGGACCATCTCGGCCTCGTCCCTGCCCCGGAGCCATGGATGTACAGCGCACACGTCACACTCTTACTGACACACCTATTCTTGTTCTTCTGGCACAGCAGGACACAAAGGCACATGTGGGTGAGGGTCCAACATCTACCACCAATCAGTACAGCCCACATCAACACCCTTCACTTCTCCGCTCAACCACGTCCCTACGTTTGTAGTGGAATTACACTCCTGCTCCTTTAACACAGCTACGTTCGTGATTCGCTCAGTTGTAACGACACATTCTACCTTTCTTCCTTTGTTGATCTTTTATTGTCAAAGGACACGTGTTGTCCTGGGTGTAACAAACATCAGGATGATGAACTCTGTTGACCTAACACTCTGCTAACTCTGCCACAGTAGGATAACTGGAAACACACTAAGAAACAAACACTGAGTCTAAACAAAAAACAACATAAAGTCAGTGTTAGGATTTAAACTGCCACAGAGGGTTTGTTATTCCTAGTTCTAAAGAACTGTAGGGATACTCCTTTACTAAAATATAGATGTTATTCAAAGTCTGCTGTAAGCCACCACCAGAGGAATATTCAGTGAACACTGGGACTGCTTGTGTCTCCGTCTCACTACAGCATGTAGTTTAAAACCAGGGAAGGCTTGTTTTTCGAAAGAGAATAAGAAATTACTCTCTCACAGCAGAGACGTGTGAATTGATCAGATGTATTGCAAGTCTTTTCATGAGGGTTAAACTTTAGGGATTCAATGGAAGAACATTTTGTACTTTGTGGCTAACTCTAAAGTGCGCCAAGTTGTGCTTTGATTTAGGCCGATTTAAAGAGGAGTAAAGCCCAAGGTTCTTTACAGAGCCACTAGCTCCCAGTTCTTTACCTCAACTAACACATGGATGAAGCTTTTACTTCAGGTCAACAATAGGGAGAAATGTCCGAACAAAAAACAAAACCTGCATTGTTCCCATTATATAACTGATTAATAACCAAAAAAAAAAACTGCTGAGTTTTAAAAAGTCTAGTACAAATGGGGACAACAAGCATACAAATAAATAAATGAATAAATAAATAAATAAAAATCGAGAAAGACACAGACAGTTATTCAGGTCTGTTCCCACCCAACGATAAACTCATAAAGCAGAGACAGATTTTTACATCAGGATATTAAAGAGAGGACAACTTCATAACAGCGGTGAGGGAGAAATCCTAAAATTCAATTTTGCAGGCAGGGAAGGACTCGTCCTGCATGACGACGGTGCTGCTGGACGCCAGCACCATGATGTTGAGCTCCTGCTGCCTCTCATGTGTCTGCTGGTACCAGTCACGGGTAACCTCAGTGTCGTGGGTGGGAATCAGGGTCACCTGGAAGAACAAACAAAAAGCAAAAATTAATTAAAAAAGGACAATTTGGCTTTTTAGATTTGAACTAGTGGCTCTGTTTGAAGATGGAGACTAACATTGTTAATGCATCTGGCAGAAATGTTACCTGCAGGTTTGATCCCCACTGAGCTTTGCCATCTAACAGTGCATCTAAGACTCCTCGGCTGGGTTCACCGCCTGCTGCGTCATTCCCGCTCACGACGTAGTAGGCAGAGCGAATTCGTTTAAAAAACTCCTGATCCACATTCTTGGCACTACAG